TTATATTATACAATAGTTCAAAATTTCAAGCAAGGCTTAACACATAACAAATCTGTTAKAATCACTATAGTTCTTTTTTGTCATAAGTGGGCTATAATTAATAATAAATATAGTAGTTAAATTATACACATAATACATAATATTATATTATAGGTACTTATTACTATTAATTTTTTTTTTTTTAGATATAATATAATATATGCTTCTGATATAAATTTGTACATGTATGTAACTATATAATATTTATTGTATACATAGGTAGTAAAAATGTATTTATAAATAAAGAATCAATAATCAATGCTACTTTTACAATTTTTTTTAGGAGTTTCAGGTACAAAATGTGACTGCATCTATAATATTAAATATATTATTATTTATAATAATTATTACTATATCGTAGTACATAAACAATAATATACATAAATATTAGTATAATAATAGTATTACATGATCGTTCCACTAGCGATTGTTATTAATATAATGGTAGTAACAAAACAACACATATACACATATATTTTCAAAATAAACATAACCATTGTGTACATGTAAATATTAGTATTATAACGTACTGCATACTTATTCGTATGTCATAATACAATATTATTATTAATATATTAAAAGAAGGAACAGTAATTTCACTAGTTATATAAACGATCATCGTAAACGATTAATAAATATGAATGTAAAATCCGTTTAAAAGCGTCGTCCATGCATAATAATTAATTTTTCTGAATGAAACACATTAAAACATATTCTATTTCGTAATTTCGATGCAAATTTAAGCTTTTTATTTTTTTATTTWTTTTATTTTTATTTTTGTAGGGTGGACATAGTTAACCCAAGGTCAGCGACGGCGAATGTAGATTAAATTATAATAAAAAATGTATTGTGTATACAATATAATATTTTGGTCCAAGTTTGCGTAGAGTATAATAATTAGTAACGATAAAAAAGATCTATATAATTTACCAAAAATATTGCTATAGTGTTTTCGGACAAAAAATATAAATATTTGACTGTTTTAGATTCGTGAGTACAGGTAGAGCGTTGAAAGTTTATATATTTTATATAACAAAAATCGTAATAATAACTACCTGCTATATTGTCACAATAGTATTAACGTGTACTTTTGCATATACGGTTACTAAAATATTGTAAATTGTAYTATATTTTTTCCGTGCAGAAAAACGAATCGATTTCATTGTAATGGTTACAAAATATTATGTATAAGAAAAATTATTTTTTCTTAAGCTTTACAATGAGTGGTGTCTAGAAGAAAATACAAACGAATCAGTGACATATTTTACCTATACTTTTCCTCGGAAAAACGAGTTCACCTCAAAATATTTTATTTTCCTAATTTTTGTTCTTATCCGTGGATCACATTATTATCACATAATTATGGATTAAGGTATCTGAAGTAAGGATTTCTTGGTAATTTGTGTTCACTAAGTGATTTATATTTGCCGTGTGAATGTTTTATACTTTAAATTTAGTAAGCTGTAACACTGCAAAATTGCTAGGTACTTGTAGTGTTATGTAGGTATAATATTTATTCATAAATAATTGTTGCATTATTTAAAAAAAAGAGAGAGATTACCAAAAACAAACTCTATTATGTACAATATAATTAMAGTTAAAAAACAATTCCAAAATAAAAAATAAAATAATAATAATAACAAATTATAATATTTTCGACAAATGGTTAATTCGAATATTTACATTATGATAATAAAGAATAATACATTATTATTTTCCCTATTTTTCGGAAGTAGTATTAACTATCTACATATTGTAAATTATTAATTTTTAAAATATCTCCCTTTTCATGAAAAATGTAACTTACATTTCCTCTTGTAATACGCTAGAAATTATTAATGATAACATTTTCATTATTAACAAAAATATTTTAAAGCGCAAAAAAAAAATAAACAAAAACAACAAATTAATCAATTAACTATCTTATTAAACTGTACCGCCGAGAACCCGAATTCTACCTATACTCATTTGTTATTATTTTTTATTGTTTTTATTGTTATAATTTGTGTGTAAATTAATTTACCCGAAACTAACTATAAATTGACCACCCAATACAACATACACCGTGGGAACGATACTAAATTAAAATTAATTAAACTATATAGGCCTTGGTGTGCAGTAGACAATACGAGTGAAACAATATACTACTAATCGTCGAGTTGACTGTTAACATAATATCGTATAATACATACACGTTTGMAGTTAGWACAAAAATAATTAGTATGTTGTACATATTACAATAGGTACACTTCGTATGGTTACGGTTTAGTCATCTAAAGTGTGTAGTTCATCAGCTAATCACGACGTGAAAACGTATCACTTCTATTTTATTTATAAATATTCTTTTCTATATATTATAATCGTTATTATGACAAAATGGATAGGTATAATAATTRCGATCTAACCATAACTCTATAGGAGAACTTAAATCATCAGATATATATTGCTAGTCATCCAACACGAGATGTTGATATTTGAACTACGAAGGTTTTTCTTAAATTTCATCATATTTTCGTGGTCTGTGCCAAATGCATCATGTATCATTTATTTACTATTATTATTATTATTACTTTATTTTTACTCTCATTTGACGGGATTTGGGAGGCCGGAGTGGTGCAGTGGTCACGCAATTGACTCAATTCATATGACAACACAAGTTCAATTCATAGCAAACTGCAAAAAAATTTGAGTGGTTCTACGTGATCACTAAATCCCCACGCTGTCGTCTGATTGCGTCATCCGGTTTCCAAATAGGTCCCACTCCACTGAGAGTGAAGACCACACATGTTTCCTCTTGGAGAAGGGGGTAGTATCATGTACATAGTGATATATACATAGATAAATATATCACATGATCTCCCTACTACCCACTTGTGATAAGCATTAGACCTAGAGGTCAACTTAGGGGTCGTTTCAATGAATAAATAAATAAAAAATTTRACGGGACTCGAAACACTTTGAGATATTGTGAACAATTAAACYGAGATGCAATTATTACAATGCACMACTGACTCGTAGATTTACGTTGTCTACGTACATTATGCTATAGTTGTTGAATCTATATTTTAATAATAGTCATCAATATCGAAAGAAAAAAAAAACAAGCTGTAAAAAGTTAGCGATTCCTCACATCATAATTAATTTGTTTTAAAAATTGTACACCTTAATATTATATTACATCGATTAAAATAATTAAATATATTTTTTTTTATCATTAAGGCTATTTTGTAACAAAGACGAAAACAAAATTATACAGTCTTGTTGGTTATTGTTCTTAACCGGGTTTGATAGTATATTATAATGGATTCGATGTTAATATAATATTTATTTTGAGTTGAAAAATTCCAGGAGGAAGGTAGAATTCATTTTAAAAACACATCGCTATAGTACATTATTCGTTATTTTCTACGGTTTTCCACACTGCGGAATTTATTTTGTTTAGAATAATAAAAAACGTCGTCAAATGTTTTCGTTTAAAACGTTACGTCTCGCGGTATCCATAATTCGACGATCTTGGTATTTATAATATGAGTGTAAACCCTCGCAATCACTGTTGTTTTCGTCGTATAAAAAATTATATCGCTACATTATATTATTTATGTATCGAATGTCAATCTATTACACTAAACTCTGCAGGTCGTATTGACATCGACGCTATTTTTCAAATTATTATTATTTTCTAATCCAACTAAAATTTAGAAAAAACTTAGAAACATAAAAAATTAGAACATTACAATATGTTGTACTCTTTATTATTGTTAGGTAGTTAATGCTCGCGATCGACACGTGACCGCAGTCGTTGTCGTGAATGCGCGACTATAATATACTATTTATAATATTATATTGTTATAACGAACTCAGGACCTGTAGCGCCTACCGACGACTATAATACTAATTTTGTAAAAAATATTATAATCCTAATAAAATGCAAAACGATCGCGATGAGAGCGTTAGAAACACGGTAAGTCTGAAAGTCTCTGGAAAAATATCATTGTTATAATATTATCATCACGCGTTGTAATAATAATAATACGATGTCGTTCATTCGTTCGAGTAGTTTTGGCGAACCCACGTGGCGGGCAATGATGGGCACAATAACGACAGATCGTCATAAAATCACCTGCAGGTTTGACGAGCTCACGGCACTGTGATAACTGATAATGATGATATCACGGCGACCATTGGATGAGTGTTTCTCAAAAACTACAGTTAACGATAGGATTGTAGTAATTTTAATTATAGAACTCTGTCGTGAGGTAGTTGCAATGGAGKAGGATGACGATTTAAGAGGAGTAGAAKATCGTCTAAATATATTCGTACACGAATTATGATAAGTCTTCATCTATATTATTACCATCGTACGAGTGCCGATGACGCGCAAATAACTCGCATGAGTCAGTTGATTATATTAATATTATACAGACGATGTTCATTAATTCATCTCCGCGAACCGGGCGCAATATTAMGTCTTGGAATATGCAAGGAATTTAATTTTAAGAACGAATACTGCTGATAGTCACAAAATAATTTAAAATCCTTAATATGTTTTTAGACATAAGAAAAATAAAAACAAAAATAATTTCCTTGTATTTTCTGAAAAGTTGCCAAATCGACGAAAGGTAAAAGCAGCAYATGGAATATCATCATTATATAAATATTATAATCATATAAYTGTCGTTTTGTTGATATCACCAAATCAAACAGGTAAGTAAGTATCATCATATTATCATATCATCATTATTACAACAATATTATAATATTAGTCATTATTATCATATAGTAACGACGAGACATGGGTGCGGTAAAACTATAATAATAATCGTGGCGGCTGATTTTCAAAATGTCTTCTTCTTT